TTATTCTTTTATCTTTTGTCATGGATTTTGAAGGGGCTGTATAGTAGTAAATGATACCATCGATGGATTAGACGACAAAAATTTTATCAATTTTTAATTAAATTTTAAATATCGCTGAAAATGGCTTATTTGGCTGTTTTGGGTTAAGATTTCTCGAAATCTCGACGTGATAGAGCAATTCTGCAGCCGGATTCGGATTCAGCGCGAAAAATTACGTAAGAAAACATAATTAATCTCTGCGTAATCACACAAACATTTTGTGTCATAAATGTTTTTCTTTGTGTGACTACACAGAGATTATCTCGGTGAAAAAAATGTACGGCGTTAAAAAATATATATTTTGAAGATAAATGTTGACACTTTCAGATGGCGTAAACAAAAGTAGAAAAAAAAATTTACTTCGCTAGCAAAAAAATCACAAATATGTCAAAAAACGTCAATTTTGACACCTTTAACCTCACTTTTCTTCAAAAACCTGACGTGATAGAGTAATTCTGCCGCCGGATTCGGGTTTAGCGCGAAAAATTACGTAAGAAAACATAGTTAAATCCCAATCAACTTTCAACACCTCAAATTTTGCAGGCCTGTGTAATTAATGTTCTTTTTATTGACGAAATATTTGATTTTTCATTATTTTCTTTATTTTTATATTAATTATATAACTAAAATAACGCTTCTTACTTGGAGACGATCGTACTGAATTGAAAAGCAAATTATTTGTAAAGGAATTTCAGTAGTGGTACATAACTCGCAGCATAATTTCATTATCAAAAATAAATCCGACCAATTGCTATAAATTGTATATAATATGGCAATCATCATAATCATCCCATGTAGAATAGAAAAGTAGCGAAATATTTTATTACTTATTTTTTCGCATTTTGTGGCAGTTGGTGGTAATGGCCAGCAACAAGCAAACAATAAATCTGCTTTCAAAAACGCAATAAGTTTTTCCACCGTTATATCCGCCATAACAATTGTTTGTTAAATATCGTTTTGTTACAGTTACACAGCGATTTGAACTTTGTCGGGAGAAAATATCATTCACATTAAAGATACGTATATATTTAGTTTACTATCCACGTGTATTAACTGTTGGCATAAAATTTCTTCGACGATGTAATACAAGCAACCCCTCTGATACACATTTCCTACTTCATAGTTTTACTTCGTTCCAAAGCCGTGCATTATAGGTTTGTGAATTATTCAAGCAAATAATGTATTGACGCTGAACCGTAATAGTACAATTATGTTCTTACTTCCCTATATGAATACACATAATCTTAATTACTATATAGATGTAAGAGAGTTTGAAGATTATATAACAGTGAGGAAACATAATATACATGTGAGCAGCTTTAATTACTCTGGAAACAGCTTACTAAAAAACGTTCTACTTTAAGAAGATGAAATCACATTAGTAATTATATTTATTGAATTTCTGAAAAGGACTTGAACAAGTAGCTGAAACATGTCAACATTTCGAATTTAACAGAATAGGTTTGAATATCAAATTCATGTAATTATCATTGATATATAAAATAATTTTACGCAACAAGTTCTGCGGTTGACTCTTTAATATCCTGTAAACTTACATCATTATAATATACTTATATCATTATATCATTATGTATATCTACATATACATATACCCAATCAGCAAAAAAATGTTTCAAAAATGTTTTTTAAACGTTTTTTTTCATTGCAAAAAACGTTTTAAAAACATTTAAAAAATGTTTAATTAATGGGATAGATCCTTTTTTATTCATTAAAAAAATGTTTTTTTTACAATTTAAAAAACATTTTAAAAACATTTTTTTAACATTTAAAATCCATTTATTTTACATTTAAAAAATGTTTAATTTATATTTAAAAAAAAGGAATTTTTAACACTTCATAACATGATTTTTTGATATTATATGAATGATTTTTAAAAATGATTTTTTGACATTAAGTACATGTTTTTTTCGTGACATTGGTAATTACCAATTGGTATAGCGCTATGTCACCAAAAAAACATGTGTTTAATGTAAAAAAATCGTTTTAAGAAATCATTCATATAATATTAAAAATTCATATTATGAAGTAATGTTATGAAGTATGTTATGAATTATCTCAAAATTTAAACTTGTGCTTTGCGGATCACAAGTCGAAGGTATGTACATTCCGCTGTATTTTATATTAAAGTTGTTTAAAAACTTGCACGCTTATAAAAGGTTACGTTAAGTGGATCCTAGTCCAATATTTGTATTTACTTTTTGCAATCGAGTGGGACCTCAAAAGATTGCTCGTGTCTTAAAGAATTTAAAAAAAGGTTTCATTATTTTTACACTCGCTTTTACCCAAAATTCACAAAAAAATTTGAAAATTATGACTATTTAAAAATTATGCTAATTTTTTTCTAAGAAATGATAAGTGACACATCATCGATGCTGCGACTCAATGGAGGGTAGACAAAGGGACAAAGAAGTTTCAAATGGGATATATAACGGGCCATCAGCGCGCAACACCTCAGTTGGTGCCCTGTAAGATTACCAAACCGATCATGGTAAACGTAATGTGGAAAGTATGGCTGACCATCGTGCGAACGTTGAGGACATTGACGTTGAAGACATGGATGGTGTAAATACAGACAAGTTATTCGAAACACTGGAAGTAGAATTTGAGGACATAGTGGACCAAAAGTCGTCCAATGATACTCAATATCTTATTGGTTTGAGCGGCGGCAATACGGATAACGCAGAGAAATTTGTGCAGCCTTCGGAAATCCATGCATTGAACAGCCGTACTAAGCATTGCATAATCTGCTGTTATTATACAGAGTGCAATGGTGCTCCTATCTTTTGTGCAACATGCATGACTAATTTGCGAGATTATAGCGATAAAGGAATGTATCTCGTTAGGAATCACGAAGAATGTTCTTTCTATGCACTAGACTTCAGATGGCGTGCTCAGAATGCGGAGAAAAAATGTACATTGTATACCCATGCAGCATGTGCCCACTCTGCGCACATTAAAAACCATTGTGAACAGTAATGTGAACAACATTGTGAACAAAAATTGAATGTGAAAAAGTATGACTGACCATCGTGCGAACGTTGAGGACATGGATGGTGTAAATACAGACAAGTTATTTGAAGCAATGGAAGTAGAATTTGAGGACATAGTGGACCAAAAGTCGTCCAACGATACTGAATGTCTTGTTCGTTTAGACGATGGCAATATGGATCACGCAGAAAAATTTATGCAGCCTTCGGAAATCGAAGCGTTAGATATTCATACTAATCACTGCATAATCTGCTGTTATTATACAACGGGTGGTAGTGCTTTAGTCATATGTACACGTTGCATGGCTTATCCGCCGAATTATGATAAGATTTCTTTGCGGAATATTAGCGATGAAGGAATGTATCTCGTCAGGACGCACCAAGACTGGTCTTACTGTACACAGGGCACCGAGTGTTCGATATGCAAAGAGCCGATGTACACTGTATTTCCACGCAGCATGTGCCCACTCTGCACACATTGAAAAAACTGTTGAGTGCTTCGTGTAAGAGTGTAAGTGCTCCGTGGAAAAGTGCAACGTGATCTAAAGACTGTGAAAAAGACATGGAAAATCACGAACGAGTGGAACGCGAACTGCTGGAGCAGTGCGACTAGATCGCTACTCTGGTTGAGTGTTTCGCGTGGCTGCAACGATGCGACGGTGCATCGAGCGGCTCGAAGAACTTTGCCGTGCCAAGAGCGTCCGCGACTCGCCGTTGGACATAGACAATCCGTGGTGGCGAGGATCGCGCGACTCGCGGGTGCAAAGTCACATTGGAGCGACGTTTCGTACACGTTGGTGGCGAGTACGCGAGTGGCAACGAGCAATCTCTCGTATGGCGTGAGGTTGACGCCGCGTTTGAAAGCCGTATATTGACGGGCGCTGTGTTAAATTCTAATCACATCGAGCCGC